GCAGTAGGTGCATTTTGCACCTGGCTATCAGCCACTTGCAACCAAGGCCTGTCTTCTGGCTCTCAGCCAGCAGCACAGGGGCTTCAATCCTTACAAAGGATGTAAGTCACACATTTTTCTCTGTATATGTAACTACTAGCTAAAGCCTGCCTTCAGGGATCATACTGCGAACTGAATGTGAGTAAACTTCTTGTCACTTTTAAGGAAAGACTCTTGTGTCTTTATTCATTTTAAGAGGGATAAAAGGGGACACCAGGCATAATCCAGTCTGATCAAGCCAGACTGGATTGCTTAACTAAAGAGATTCAGATGAATCTGCAAACTAGCTTCCTACTGTATTGAAGGGAATCTGCTTTGCTACATGACTCAGTAGCCTGAGTGAAGGAAAGATAATATTTAATCAATATATCCTCTCATACCATCCTTAACAGTCCCACAATGCCCGGCAGGGCTAAGAGAGACTCCCTGTCTGAACTCCTGAAGTGACACTGCCAATCAGATAAGCCAATAGGACAGCTTCCTATGTTCCTAAATCGGTTCTCTTGCCTGTTTGGTACCATTCCTATCACTGCTACTGCATGAAGCTGCTGCATGCTATAACTGTGCAAATTTCCTCTGCCTTAAGAGCAGTTAGCCAAGTGGTTGTAGCATAGCAACTTTCAGTTTGCTACAGGTGCATGTACATTAAAAAGCCATCTGAAGCCCATTGTTCTCAGTGCTTTGAGCCTCAGGTTGAGATGACAGTCTCAACCCTCGCTTATCTCCTTCGATGTGGAAAACTTAACAGGTAAGCACTTTGCATCCCATCTTAAGCAGGCCTGAAAATACTGGTTTGTGAATCTGAGCACGTAACTCAGTCAAGGTTATAAGAGTTTACATTTCTCCAAAGTGAACTTTGCCGTATTACACTGATGTTATGACGTGATTCCCACCCTGGGACTACTCTGCTGGTTGCAAACATGGAATCCAAATTATTTACACAGCATAAACATCCAAAAGTTTCTTAGGGAGAACAAGAGCGCATGCAGAAACAGGCTACTCTGGTTGCTCTATAATCCCCTGAGTCCCAACAATTCCTTCATTTTGCTTAAGTAAGCAGTTTCTTTGTGATCCAAAACGCTGACTAAATTCTCTAATCAGCTTTTGTTCAGAAACTATTTATTTCCATCTGCATTACAAATGCTGGATTTTAAGCAACCTATCAACAGTGCATAATCCAGCAAGTGATCTTGTCAGCGTGCCTTTTTCCCTCTCTAGATGCAGCTCCTGCATTCTGCACTTCTGAAAGGGAGAAATAATAGGATTAGAGAAACACTGAGGACAGGAGCGATGTCAAACAAAAGGAAAACATGCTGCTATTCTAAAGCATTCTCATGGCGCATTGGGAATTGTAATCCATTCATTTGCGCTAAAGACTTGTGTGTGCTCATTATGCAAGGGACATAAACGCCTGGCATATTTTGATACTGTTGTCTCGCCTGCTGGGACCCATAATTAAAACACATTCCAGGAAATGCAATTTTAAGACATCTAGTGACTGAAAGTATGGGCCGCTTTGCCAATACGCCATTGTCTGAGTATTTTGGTGTGCAGAAAAGCCAGCTGACAGCTAGTCTTTACAGGGTTAGGGTTAACAATCAACAGAATATAGGAAATGGAAGATCTATGTCAGATGCCTGGAGCAACATTTCAGATGGTTTTTCATATCTCAGATGGTCTGGGAAAACTCAGCTGTTGTTTTCTCATCCTCAGTGTGCCCTTTCATTGATGTAACTGGTGGGGCTTATGATTCTGCTGTTCAGCTTAGGTCTACCTAGGACCTAGGATGGGCAAGGAAAACTAAAACTGTAGTCAGAGAGAGGCAGAGGAATCTTATACCACTATAAGATTGTTAAGGATAATGGTTTAATTTCATGAAATGGGAATGTTGCTTATGTTGAATTGCTGTGTATTTTTAGCATGGGGTTTTTTCCTTTGGCAGTAGCTCTCTCATGTGATTGGCTGAGTGTGAGTCACATGAGAGAGGCATTTCATTCTGTTGTGACTGTTATTCAAGCAACTGTCATTTTTAACTGTTTTCTGTTCTTCTCTCTGTTGAGAGAGGTTTCTTTGGATGCTGCTGAGGACAGTGTGTGTCGGTGTGGTCTATCTGGGGTGAAGCAGACAGGGAAAGATCCCTAAATGTTTATAGGGAGGAGCCTGTGCTCGCTATATGGGACAAAGTGAATTAGTATGAGATTAGAACAAAATAACTATATCAATACAAGGTGTTGCATTTTGCACTGAAATATGGGACAGTCCTGTGTTATACGGGAAAAAGGGCAACCCTAGCACTGGTTGAAATCTCAGCACTCTTTATCACTGAGGCTGATTTTTGTTTTAGAATTTCCTGTTACAGGAGTTAAAACCATGCATGATGGCAACAAATAGCTTGCATCACACAGTAATAATTTCAAGGGCACATTCTCAATATAAATAACTCACTTTCAACCTTAATAAGCCTTCTAAAAATTATTTCAGTAAATTCATTATATAGATGTCATCTTGGATTATGATGTTATATACTAGTGGGTTTTACCTCCTCTCTTTGTTCCACGCAGATAAGCACCATTGTTTTCTTTTGAAAGCGCTGCTCTTGGCCTTGCCACACTTTCGTTTACAAGAGTAAATATGCATGTCCTTAAAATATAAGGCTGCCCTTCAACCTCTTTTCTTAACTACAGAAAGCTGTCTCAACTTGAGAAGAATGTTAATAGAAGAAGGGGCGAAAAATGTTCTTGACCCTTATGAAAAATTGTTTTCTAATTCAAGTCCGTTACAAGCCAAAAGCAAGGCTAAGGTAAACCACTCACGTTTTCGCTCTTTTCTTAGAAATGTGAAGCACTGATAGAGGATTAAAAAGACAGCCAAACTACTCAATATCTACTTTGCTTTCATCTTTACAAGCAAGCACTTGAAAGTGTTTAGCAACGATACCCAAAGCGGAAAAAGGAAGAGGTGATTGCTCACAATAAATGCAGCATATTGACAAAAAATACTTTATAAAACGTAAATGAATTTGTGTCACCGAGGACTAATACCATTCTCCTGAGCTTTCTTAAATGAGAAACTTTCAGACCTACCGTATATCTTGTCTGCGATCCTAATGAGAAGTTGTGTGATATCACAATATTGTGCCTAAGTTTGGGGGTGAGGAGATTAATTTTACTGGGTATCACAGTCCCAATAGATAGAACAAATACTTTGCAAGGACTCTAAGGAAGTGAATATCTTACTACTACATTAGCACGTTGTTATCAAGGATAAACTGAGTCACATCATCATTGACCATGGGTTGTATCCAGCCTCATATAATGAACATGCCTAACTCTAATTAATGCATGAAGGGGTTAAGGCTATAGAGCAAGCTGTCCCATCAGGCTTAGTTAGGTCACATCTCTCACCTTAGAAGTAAGGGCTACTAAACTCTTTGTTATCCCTCTTTCCACCATTTTTTCCACTGTGAACCAACAAGTAAGGATGTCTAAGCTGGATGATTCAAACTTAGACCACATAGTTTTAGAAAGCCATATTTGTGTATCTATACAAATAATTTAGAAATGTTTGCCACTTTTTGTAACCTAAGTTTAACTGCCTGTCTTTTCTTGCTGCTGTGTCAGAAAGCACATGAATCTGATCTTTGAAGAGTTTGTAAGTAAATGATTTTTAACTTACCAAACATGTGGACAATTTCTACACTAAGGGGAAGTGGATAGCATTGGGATAGACTTAGAAGAGGATACAGTGATACCTCGGGTTACATACGCTTCAGGTTACATACGCTTCAGGTTACAGACTCTGCTAACCCAGAAATCTTACCTTGGGTTAAGAACTTTGCTTCAGGATGAGAACAGAAATCATGCAGCGGCGGTGCGGCGGCAGCGGGAGGCCCCATTAGCTAAAGTGGTGCTTCAGGTTAAGAACAGTTTCAGGTTAAGAACGGACCTCCAGAACGAATTAACCAGAGCTACCACTGTATTTTAAAGCTCTAGCAGCCTATATTTCCATGCTTGACTTTTCTACATGTTTTGTGATTTTAAATCTCTGCTGGGGTTGTCTCAACAAAGAGTACCTGCCCCAAACCTGGATCTACGCAGACAGGGAATTCTCCTTTTGTTCTTTAAACAAAATCCAACATTATTACTCTCTTTCTTCAACAAAGAAACTGGTTGAGTAAATTAGGGGAACAACTGATGTAATAATGTATCTGGATTGCATTATAATAAAGCTTCAGAAAATCCAAGGAGAAAAATATACCACACAGTGTTGTCAGTATGGTGTATTGGTTAGTGGAGACCAGGGTTCAAATCCCTACTTAACACTGCCTCTCAGCCTAACCTACCTCACAGAGTTGTGGTGAGGATTAAATGAGGAGGGAAGAACCATGCATGACATCTTAAACTCCTTGGACAAAAGGTGGGCTATAATTGCAATAAATAAAATAAATAAAATATTTTTTAAAAAATGTGCATAGTGCTCATATGGTAGAAAATCTAAAGGTTATAAACAGATGCTCCAGAGTAAGGTAAAGGTAAAGGGACCCCTGACCATTAAGTCCAGTCGTGGATGACTCTGGGGTTGTGGCGCTCATCTTGCTTTATTGGCTGAGGGAGCCAGCGTACAGCTTCCAGGTCATGTAGCCAGCATGACTAAGCCGCTTCTGCCGAACCAGGACAGCGCACGGAAACGGTGTTTACCTTCCCACTGGAGCGGTACCTATTTATCTACTTGCACTTCATGCTTTCGAACTGCTAGGTGGGCAGGAGCAGGGACCGAGCAACAGGAGCTCATCCCATCGCAGGGATTTGAACCGCCGACCTTCTGATCGGCAAGCCCAAGGCTCTGTGGTTTAACCCACAGCGCCACCCGCGTCCGTTGTGCTCCAGAGTAGCCTTCACCAACCGGATGCCTTCTGATGTTTTGGACGGCAACTCCAATCATCCCAAGTCAGCATGGCTAATGGCCAGAGATTGTCATTCAAGACATCTGGAGGCACTAGGTAGGCGAATATCAGTATTGGGTCTGGTGTCAATCAGTTATCTTTACTAATGAATTGGCTGAAGGAGTCAGCAGTACACTAATCAAATTCATAGATGATACAAAATGAAAAAGGGCTGTAGAGACTTCAGGAGTTGGGCTACATTCCCAACTTAATATCAAACTCTATATTAAATGAAGCATGAATTAATTCCCATAATTTTTAAGAAAAACCAGCTATGTTATGCTGTGCCATTAAAGTCTTACACAGTTTGAGACTGCATTAACAGAAGCTTCGTTTCCAAAACCTGGGAGCAAATATTACAGTTTTATTGACCAATAGCTGAACCTCACCTGAAGCGTTTGGATCAATTCTGGGCACCACAGCATACCAAAGAGTTGGAAAAGATTCAGAGAAAAGAGGAAAAAAGGATCAAGAAAATGAAAAATACTTGGAAAGAATTTGTTGGAGGTATTCCAAAACGAGAAGAAAGGCAATTCTATCTTATATATTCTATCTTAGAGCAAAGAATTGGGATAGGTATGCCAACTTTCATGAGTCAACAATACTTTTCAGAAAGTTCATTGTGGAAGGCAAAGCTGCCAAATGTGTTTCTCAAGCATTCCAATAGTATCTTAGTGACAACAAAGGAAGTACCGTAAGTGCATATACATGAACATACCGCCATTTACAGTATAGTGTAAAATGTAGGGCTGTATATGCCTCTTCCCCCTGAATCCAGTTTGGAGCATGATTCAACCCAGGATAACCCTGACCTAAGCTGGCCTAATCTAGGGACTGACCCGAAATGTGGCTTTAAATCCAAATTAAACATGTGCTCTATGACAAGGGTGGGCGGAGAAGGAGACACAGAGCCTTTTGCCAGCGCTGCCTTCTCTCCTCTCCATATCACCTGTTTATTTGATGTTTCAATCTCTAATTAAACATGGCGGCAGTGGCAAGGAGAGGGTGAAAGGAGAAAGAGGCAGAGATTTTCACTTGGATCTGGTTCTCCCTCCTCTGACCACATGTTCAGCACCCTAATTAAACATGCAGTCAGTGGCAGCCAGGGAGGCAGGGAAAAAAGACAGTTTCTTGTCTTTGGCGATCACTCGTAGCGAGTAAGAGTCATTCGGCTCATGCGATGGCTTACTTAGATACAGCCCCAAACCATGATGGAAGGTTTTCTCTTTGCTTCACTCACTTCATTCCATAACTAAAAGCAGCTCCAAAATATAAAAAATATGAAAGTATCTCCTATACTGAGTTATGATGATGCTCCCATAGTGAGTTATGAAGTATGCTTTTTTAACAGCTTCTGATTTGAGCTATGAATATTTTTATTTCCAAAGGCAACCTGAACTATGAATGTGTTGACATTTTGCTGTTACTGTTTGTTATCGGTTAAGAATTTGATCTTGCCATTGGTTATTAATTATGTCAAGGATGTGTCTTATGTCCTCTTGTCCTTGCCCTCACTGTGGCTTTAAACTAAAAGAAAGAAAAGCAAGCTCATTTATGTCCAGAATCCCAGGCAACATGCATTCAGTGTGCTAATCCCTGTGAATGCACAACTCTTCCCCATGTATGCATATAGGCAAAAGATGTGTGCAGTGACATCTGCACATAACCAGTCTGCAAATATGAGCTTCTATGTGCTTGAATCATTTTTGTTTTGTTTCGTTTGCTACTGCAAAATGGTTTCAGGCAAAGCATCCAGACTTTAGCTACTGTTTGTGAAGACAAAATGTCCACTGGGATGAATAGGAGTTATGGCTTTGTCTTCAGGACTAGACTTTAGCATCAAAGGTGAATGCTGTCCTACCATGTCTAAGGTCCATTTGTTCTACAATAAACACATATTTTATTGAAGAATAAAAACCCACAACGATGCCCGCCTATTCGATTGTTAAAAGATTTTAACACACACTGGAGCATAGGTTCGGCATTGTAGCTCAATGATGTGTTATTCTTTTTTTCCATTGCATTTCTCTGTGTACAGAAGCCTATTTTTGAAAGTCCCCAATGTCTTTCACTTTCCAAGACATTCCTGTGTCTAGGAGCCAGTTCAAAAAGTCAGAGAAAGAGTTGTGATATATCATAGATAGGACTCTGTTCCCCCACTTCAAAAGCTTTTTTGATCTGGAAAGCTAGGAAGAAGCATTTTAGCATAACCTTCTTCCCAAATGTGCCAGCTTTCTTCACATGAGGAGTGAGTGCTGGGCAGGCCAGCACCATTTTGGAGGGCTGGTAGAAGGCAGGCTAGGAGAGATGGCTGGGGACCCAATTCTGCACTGCTGTGGGAAACAAAGCCATGAACCTCCTAGGTATCTGAGGATATGAAGCCATCTTCTAACAAGATAATTATTCTGTGCAGCACATTTCCATGTATAGTTGTCTGTTTGTTAGAATAAAGGTGGAATATACATTTTTTGGATGAACAAGTCAGCAAATAAATCAATAAATAAATAAATGACTGTGGCGTTTGCCCTCCTAGGTGTGTGACATCATACGGGGTTCATAAGGAAAGGGTTAACTAAATGTAAAATGACTAACCAATAGGAACCCAAGGGGAGGAGTTAGAGTTAGGGTGGTTGAGAAGTGAGTCTGGAGTTAGAGAAGAGACTGAGAGGATAAGTCTGTGAGTTGGGCTAGTCTGGTGTGAGAGAGTGAGAGAATCTGTTGAGAGGAGTCAGTCAAACAGTTGAGATAATAGATCAGAAGGTATTAGGAAGGTATAGGCCGGTAAAGAAACTAAAGTTAAGAAACTGACAAGAATATTATCTGAGAAACCATAAACTTGTTAATACTTATAAAATAAACTTGTTTATTTGGTTCAATGTTAACAACTGTCTGGACTCAGTGTTTTACCTGAGAGTAACGGGTTGGTGGCAGCGGGGAAGCGAGCACAGTGGTGGCACAGGGATCAATAGACCGTTAAACGTCCGGGGACCCTGTGTGAACACCACAATGACCAAAACATTTATTTCAACCAAAATGTGCAGGGGAACACAAAGATCCACAATTCACTGCTTAACTTCATAGATTATTCATTCATTACCCGATGGTCCTTACACGTTTCTTCATCTTACAAGATTCCTGTTGACAACAAGTGTGGCTGAAAACTAACACGTTCAGCAGGAGAGGTGTCACATTTAAGGAATGTATAATAAATGTGTTTTATAAAACATATGCTACATTTCAGGCCAAAGCTATTTGAAGCCTGTATGTTTTAGAATAGGGTACCTTTAATGGTAAAGGGGAGGAAGAGAGACGGGGAGAGAAAATGAGCAGAGACTCAGTATACCAGGGGCATCAGAGTGAACACTGTTGGAAAACTGCTGGCTTTTTGCTTGATCCTGCAAATCTGTTCCTATGTCTGTGTTAGAAGCACTGAATATATACTATTGGGTGTACATGAAAGCACACTTCTGGAGAAAGCCAATGGCCCATTGAGTCCAGCATCCTGTTCTCAAACCAGATGATTGTGGGAAACCTGAAGGCAGCACTGTCTTGCCAAATCCAAGGTGGTTCTTTTAAAAGGAGATTCGGAAGTAATACAAAACACAAGTGAGTGAGAAGATTAAATATGTTATTCAACACAGCAAGCAATATATACATACCCAGCAAGCACCCTCAATCTGCCACCTGGAATAATAATAATAATAATAATAATAATAATAATAATAATAATAATTTATTATTTGTACCTCACCCATCTGGCTGGGTTTCCCCAGCCACTCTGGGCGGCTTCCAACAAAGACCAAAAATACAGTAAAATGTCACACATTAAAAACTTCCCTGAACAGGGCTGCCTTCAGATGTCTTCTGAATGTCAGGTAGTTGTTTATCTCTTTGACATCTGATGGGAGGGCTTTCCACAGGGCGGGTGCCACTACCAAGAAGGCCCTCTGCCTGGTTCCCTGTAGCTTTGCTTCTCGCAATGAGGGAACCACCAGAAGGCCCTCGGCGCTGGACCTCAGCGTCCAGGCAGAACAATGGGGGTAGAGATGCTCCTTCAGGTATACTGGGCCGAGGCTGTTTAGGGCTTTAAAGGGCAACACCAACACTTTGAATTGTGCTCAGAAACATACTGGGAGCCAATGTAGGTCTTTCAAGACCGGTGTTATGTGGTCTTGGCGGCCGCCCCCAGTCACCAGTCTAGCTGCCGCATTCTGGATTAGTTGTAGTTTCCGGGTCACCTTCAAAGGTAGCCCCGCATAGAGCACATTGCAGCAGTCCAAGCGGGAGATAACTAGAGCATGCACCACTCTGGCGAGACAGTCTGCGGGCAGGTAGGGTCTCAGCCTGTGTACCAGGTGGAGCTGGTAGATAGCTGCCCTGGATACAGAACTGGAAGCCCTCAAGAAGTGGTGAAGTGACTCCCATAGGTAGTCTCAGGTTGCACGGCCCCACGACCATCAATCCGTGCACGAGCTTCTCTCAATCCCTACCCAAAACCATCCGATTTATAGATAGCTAGATAGCTAGTATGACTGGCTACGTGCAATCATACGTCACTGTCTACAAGCAGATTTTTCATTAGCCACCCTCTCCCAATGCCTTTCTCCAAACACTGTCCAACATCAAAGAAGGTACTTATTACTATCTCTTCCTTCCAACAGATTAGGACATTAAAGGCTGTTCTCAGCCATCAAAGAGCTTAACAAAAGATAGGGGAAAGGAAAGAACAGGGGGCAGGAAGGATAACCATGTCAGATCACTAACTCCTCAAAATAAAAATATCTGCTAGAAAAATGCAACCTGTCCAGCTGACAGAAGTAGTACGACTCATGCAACACGTTGGCGACTAACATACACACAATAATTGCCAAAATAATTATACATTCTTTATCAATCTTCTGAGAAAAATACAAAACCTTGTGCAAAGCCACAGAAACTTGCAAACTACCCAGTCTAAGATGAACTTATAATGTCTGATTTCAATAGATTTTTCAAATGCTTAACCCACCCTTTTGTTTTCTTTATCTTTTTAGGTAAGTTCATGAAGATACCAACAAAAGGTAAGTTTGGTGTTGTTCACAATACCGAGAGATGCTAGTGAAGTTGTAAAAAAGGTAAAGGGACCCCTGACCATTAGGTCCAGTCGTGACCGACTCTGGGGTTGCGGCGCTCATCTCACTTTACCGGCCGAGGGAGCCCACGTTTGTCCACAGACAGTTTTTTTCCGGGTCATGTGGCCAGCAGACTAAGCGAAACCAGAGCAGCGCATGGAAATGCCATTTACCTTACCGCCGGAGCGGTACCTATTTATCTACTTGCACTTTGACGTGCTTTCAAACTGCTAGGTTGGCAGGACTGCCTTATAAAATCTGAAGAAGTATGAATTTCTAAGGTTAGCTGTGTGTTGGTTTCCATATTGTTTGGGGAAGTGCAAAATTCACAGTAAAATACTGAGTGAACCTAATTTCTATCCCACCCCTCTTTGTGACTATGGGGAGAGAGTCCAGAACACGCTCTCCCAACACATGCCATGTTTTACTGAGGTTGACCTTGGTGCATGTGAAAGCCCTCATAGTTCATCTACTTTCTGTTTCCACTTCTAGATATCTTTAGAATCTAAAACACTTCCATTTGGTTGCCTGTTTTCTAGTATTCCTCATATTAGACTTCCACTTTAGCACTCTGTCAGTTCCATTGAGCCCTTTATGATCTTCCCATCATAAGTAGGTTCCTCAACACATCCATAACCATGTATCATGGAGCTTTCTAGAAGCTGGTTGCTTTTCCCTGATACACCTCTCCCAGCTCTGAAAGACAGAGGCAGTCAATCAGCTGCAGCAGAGGTGCCGAATTGTGCCCAAGATTGAGAGGGCCTGGCATGGACTGCATGCATGTGGTGTCATGTGTGAAACACATGTCATGTGTGTGGTGTCATGGCATGACATGCATATGGCGTCACGTCATTGGGAGGAGGCTGAGCACAGAGCTCAGCACAGTGCAGCTTCAATGACCAGTGGCTCCTCCTCTCTCAGGCTGAGGAGGAGCTCGGCTCTGTGCACAGCCCCCTCTGTCCCCTCAACATTGAGGGGGCCTGGCCCCCTTCAAACAGATATTGGGGGCCCCAAAGACACCTCAGCCCCACACAGTTGCCAACACTGAGCTGGAGTGATAATCACTGAGTGGTTGAGCAAATGATAACCTCAGCACTTCATGTGCTCCATCTTCACCACTGATGGGGTTTCAGTTATTATGGAACGACTGCAGTAAGGCTGTGTCGACTGAATGAGTGGACTGAGAAGAAGCAGAAGAGGAGTGACAGTGGAGCGAAGGATGAAGGACAGATATACACTGAAGTAGGTTGCTATGATAAGGACGCGGGTGGCGCTGTGGGTTAAACCACAGAGCCTATGACTTGCCGATCAGAAGGTCAGTGGTTCAAATCCCCGCAACGGGATGAGCTCCCGTTGTTCGGTCCCTGCTCCTGCCAACCTAGCAGTTCAAAAGCACATAAAAGTGCATGTAGATAAATAGGTACCGCTCCGGCAGGAAGGTAAACAGTGTTTCCGTGCGCTGCTCTAGTTCGCCAGAAGTGGCTTAATCATGCTGGCCACATGACCTGGAAGCTGTACGCCGGCTCCCTCAGCCAATAAAGCGAGATGAGCACTGCAACCCCAGAGTCGGCCACAACTGGACCTAATGGTCAGGGGTCCCTTTACCTTTAGGTTGCGATGGGTAAACATATGCCAGCCTTTCCCAGCCTGGAGTCCCCCTGATGTTCTCATACGACAACTCCCATCATCCCTTACCACTGGCCATTCTGGCTGCAGCTGATGGGATTTGGAGTCGAGCAACATCCAGCAGCACCAGGTTGAGGAAGGCTGCATGTCTGCGGAAACCACAAATATGAATGAGCTCTATATCCCGCTATTCCTCAATAGGATTTATCATCGCTCGGGCAATTGGAGTAATATGATGCATTGGGGAATAGAGGTATTGGATTTTAAAGGTCCCTTCCTGCTGCCTTCTGGCTTCCTATCCCATAGTTGTCTGAGTCAGTGTGAGCACAAAGAGCACTATCTATCAGAAGCAGTAATATTTCTAGGAGAGCTGACTCATCATGGCAAAGAACTCAGAGGCTAGTAACAAGAGCAGGGCACTTTTAAAGTGTATTTAGTCACCAACTTTTTTAAATTAATAAAGTGGGCACACTTTATTCTACAGCTGGAAATAGGTTGCTGATTAAAAATGGGTTTTCATCTTCAACTGTGGCTCCTACTTTTATGTTTTCAAACATCCTGGCAAAATGTCTCAGAACATGTGCTGACTCCTTTGCCATTGTGAAAGGGACCAGATTAAGATTTTAAAAGACGTGGGCCCAAGAATATACTGCTTCTGAACATACATAGACTGCATATTATAGCCTAAACATATGCCACTGAACAGGGACACGGGTGGCGCTGTGGGTTAAACCACAGAGCCTAGGACTTGCTGATCAGAAGGTCAGTGGTTCGAATCCCCGTGACGGGGTGAACTCCCGTTGCTCGGTCCCAGCTCCTGCCAACCTAGCAGTTCAAAAGCACGTCAAAGTGCAAGTAGATAAATAGGTACTGCTCTGGCGGGAAGGTAAACAGCGTTTCCATGCGCTGCTCTGGTTCGCCAGAAGCGGCTTAGTCATGCTGGCCACATGACCCGGAAGCTGTACGCCGGCTCCCTCAGCCAATAAAGCGAGATGAGCGCTGCAACCCCAGAGTGGGCCACGACTGGATCTAATGGTCAGGGGTCCCTTTACCTTTACCTATGCCACTGAATGCTAACATTGACTGCCTAGTGGACTATGGTAGGACTTTTATAAAGAGCAGAATGCAAAAAGGCAGAGCAGTTCATATGCATTCAGTTTCGTGGCATGGGCATGTTAACCACGTTTAAAACAAAGCCCCTATCACCTTAGTGCATTTATATGTACTATAGCCACTCACACATATATGTGCTATAGCCACACACTTAACAGAGAAAACAGCAATGGCTTCCCCCCTCCCTGGCTTTGCGTAGCCCCTTGTTCTGGCAGCCACCAGCAATATTACATACTGGCTGTAGTCGTGAAATTGTAGCTAGTTTGCAATTCTCTAAGGTTTATTTGCTCTAATTTGACTTACGGTAATACCAGGATGCAGCTTTTTAAACAACAACACAGGGGGAATCAAAGGTCGAGCTCACTTGGAGATCTGCCCTAGGAGTTCTCTTCCCAGATTCTAGATCTGCAAGGGTGGCTGACTGTGGCTATTCAGCAATGAACTCTCTCCAAAAAGAAAAAGAATTCATTTATTGGGCTGAGTTTGAAACAGGATCCAAGGTGAACTTTGTTGCAGATATTAATACTGTACAGTTTGAAGAGACTGGAAGCCTAAGAACTGACTTCTTTTGGAAATGAACCATTGTCCAGACCCATAAAAATATTATTCAAACTTTTACAAGCAGAACTCAAAACAAAACACAGGTATGAAAGATACAACCACAACATCCATACGATGTATTGTGCTGTCCAGCAGAGGCTCAGAATCTTAGAAAATATGAAATAATCCAAACAGACCTATAAACTCTCTCTCTCTCTCTCTCTCTCTCTCTCTCTCTCTCTCCACAGCCTGCATTCCAGCCTCCAGGCTGTTTACTCTCCCTTCAGAAGAGTTTCATTTACAAAGACTGAAAGGCAACTCCGTTCAAAATGGTGATTTGCAACCCAGTACCTTCATCACATGATCTAAGGTTACAACACTCACATGTTAGCTACCAGAGAACAACTATCAGTTAATTAATAACTCAGAAAGAGCTCAAAGTGCTCTCTTGACTTTAACATCGCTCCATGGAAAATCCACATGTTAAACCTTTTCACCGATTCACATTTAGGTGTCAATTAAACTCATTTCAGTGTGAATTAAACTTAAGAAACTTTGACTACAATTCTGCTTGAATACCATGGGAGACTGTCTTGCAAAAGTCTGAAGCACCTCTTTACTTTCTGCAGCACTGACGATGACAGGAGCCAACTACTATGGAGAATTACTAAATATAAGGGAGCAAGGTAGATCAGGTGAAAACATTTGTCAGCATTGTGCAAGTGCAGAGTTGTACACCAAAGAAAGTTTCACATTTCTAACCAACACTCATTTCAGCACCTTCTCTTAAGGTCCGAAAACTCATCCCAGTTTTATAATTGGTGATAAATATATATTTTAACAGCTCACTTTTTCCTATGAAATGAATATGGAGACTTGCTAATTAAGGTTAGATAGGTACACACTGCTCTGGCTTTCTTAACGTTCATCATGTTATCTGCAGCTAAGATGCCTTTCTGCAGAGACACCTAAAAGTCTATTCACCAGCAGAGTTGTAGAGACCATTTCTTGTTTCGAATGGGCTCCTCAGCAAAACATAGCTTTCCCCCCACCCCATAAGCTTTACATCAAAAGCACACAGCAGGTAAACAATTGTCTGCTTCCACAGTGCAAAGTCATTACAGGAGTTACTAGACTGCTTCCAGTACCAGGCATCAAAGTGACTTGTCACATTCAGCAGAAACTCTAGAAGTCGTATATGACATATTTTTACAGACAGTTCCAACCTTCGCAGGAGATCTGCTGTAGAGTCGCACGCATGAATTCACAAAAGCCAAAGCTTATAACCCACAACTCCTGCAGCTTAAAAGAACTGGAACACTACTTGATGAAATAACTTTTCATACTTGAACATCAAAAGAAGAAGAAATGAAGTACTGCTAATGACTTCATAGGGAGGGCGAGGAAGTGAAGCTTGGCTGGCCACTACCCACTGTTTCTTCCAAATCACCCACTGTCAAAAATCCGTTTTCTGACCTTGGTTCTTAATGTGATCATTTGGACCATTCCTGTTCTCTAGAAACACTTATGCAGAAAGCAAACATGGGTAAAATATAGGGATGTGGAATTAGCCACATGTCCTACATCAGGATAGTTCTCTATATGAAGGGCTGTCACATGGCATTCTTCTATAGAAGGTGTCCTCTACTTGAAGGGTTGCCCAGTGGAAGTCCAATGCAAAGATAAAGAAGCTTAAAGAAGGCAGAGCGGGAGGATAGCTGCAACATTTAGCACTAGCAACATTTAGCACCTGGAGAACAGACTGAGTGGGTATACACCTGCTATGGTGAAATGGATTGCATTTCTATTTAAATTATAGTAATTATTGCTAAATGTGTGTCTAGACATATAAAGTAGCATATGTATAAGTTATGTGGATTGATGTCCTTTTCCATGATGCATAAGAGGAACTCCGAGATTTTGGTCCAGATTGGGGCCATGATACTAAAAGGTTTACAGTTGCTGCAGTACTTCCTGGTAACCAGGGAAGTGGTGTGCATGGTAAAAGCAACCCCTTTGTTCCATGGTCTGGAAGTAAATACAGTGGTACCTCGGGTTACATACGCTTCAGGTTACATACGCTTCAGGTTACAGACTCCGCCAACCCAGAAATATTACCTCAGGTTAAGAACTTTGCTTCAGGATGAGAACAGAAATCGTGCAGCAGCAGCGTAACGGCAGCAAGAGGCCCCATTAGCTAAAGTGGTGCTTCAGGTTAAGAAGAGTTTCAGGTTAAGAATGGACCTCCAGAACGAATTAAGTTCTTAACCTGAGGTACCACTGTACAGTGGTACTTTTGGCTCTCGAATTTAATCCCTTCTGGGACTCCGTTCGACTCCTGAAATGGTTCAGAAACCAAGGCGCGACTTCTGATTGGCTGCAGGAGCTTCCTGCACTCAATTGGAAGCTGCAGAAGCAGCAGTCGGACATTCAGCTTCCAAAAAAAAAGTTCACAAACCAGAATACTCACTTCTGGGCTTGCGGCGTTCGGGAGCCGATTTGTTCGGGAGCCACGCCGTTCAACTACCAAGGTACCACTGTACTACAGAGGTGTCCTTGCCTGCTCTCCAGCTTGCTGAATAATTCAATACTGAACAAGCATTTCTTTGAATCACAGCCTAGTCAAGAGGAGCAGCCCAGCAGTCTCTGAGAAACTGTGGACAAAGGGTTCTGAGGAGTGATCAAAAAGTGAATGAGTCCTGGGCCACCAGGTGGCGCATTGGAAGATGGCTGACAATAACATCTCTCCGACCCACACGAGGTAATTAAGAGGCTGCTATGGGAAGTATGCAGTCTTCCCCCCCCCCCAAGGATATGGGGGGGACTGCCTTGCCAACGGTGGCCACAATGCACCCCCGGATTCGAGAGAAGGGGGTGCCCCGGTCACTTGGCACCAGCCCTCAGTGAAGTCGGCTCTTCCCGGACGCCGTCTCCAATCTGCGCGTGCTGGTTCGCTTTAGCTCGAAAATACAATTGGAAATATATAATTGGAAGATGTTAAAGCACATACGTCAAGCAAAGGTCGGGAGATAAGACTGCTGATTAATGGATCTCTGGGATCGGAGCGGCGGGCGAGGACAAATAAATCAAGCGATGAAGCGCCATTAAGAGATTGGTATGTCTGGAGTGAAGTATGTCAGGAGTGAAGAAGGGGGGTGGAGGAAAAAACTTTTCTTTTCTTTGCCTTATGTGAGTATTAATAACCCTCCACCCCAAAGAAAGAAGAACCGCCGTATTTTATTACACAAGCAGGAATTTAAAAACTGTGTGGGATGAATTAATGATGAATGAAGAGAGGATTGGTAAAGATCGGAGAATGGAAAAATTTTATGACGCAGTTTTAAAATGGCGTCTCGCAAGACAGGCTTGTTTATGAAAGACGGGGGGAGGAGAACCAGGATTATTTGAAAGTGAACGATGATTGGAATTTGATCTTAACCTGGCAGAGCCCTCTATGAGATATTTTACAAGCCTGGGAAAACTAAAGGGCAGACCGAAGATAAACTTTCAAAGGAGGAGGGGAATGGCGGCTGTCCCTATGAGATATGGCTTTTGGAGTGTGTAAAACCCACACAGACCATCTTTGTTTTCAACCTGCCTGTGAAGATTATCAGAGATCGCAAAGAAAGGAATATATGACAACAAGAAGAAGAAGATGAAGAAAGTAATAAAGAGACTATCGATAGAACTGGATAGAACTGTTTAATTAAAGCAGTAATAGAAGTGATGTTTGGATCCTTGTCCGGAGCTTGGTACCCCCAACAAAATTGAAAAATTTGGCTGTATAATTTGGAATTAATGTGATTTGAAATAATGTGATATGATTGGCCTGTTAATAAAAATTATGTTTGGAAAAAAATAGAATTCTTCTGAGCATCAGCAAATTAAATTTTGTTCAGAATCAAGTCAAAAAAAGAAGAAGAAGAAGAAGTGAATGAGTCCTGTGCTTCCTGTTCCTCCATGGTGCCAAATTGCCCAAAATCAAATTTCCTCATGTCCACTAACTACAAGCTATGAAAGATGTGCCAGCGCTGAGACTCCCCCAAAGAGGAGTGATATGGAAGTTGCTGACAAGAGGAAGCCCACTGGATATTTACTCTTCCTGCTCATGCTACAGTGTCCCACATGCCATTATCTCAGCTACTTTGGAAGCAAGGTCTTTAAATGGACTAAAGGACATGGCCTTGTAAACTTTGCCACAGCCTCTATAAAGAGTTAGTTAACCTGTTTTTTAACTGTCAAAGGCTGCATTCCCTCTGGAAATCTGTCAGAGGCTTCGTGAAGAGTCAAAACAATGGGAGGAGCCAAAACCATCTCTGTCTTTTCTCTTGTTTTCTGCTACTCATTCTTTTCTCTTCTTCCCACTCCCTTTTCTCTCTCTCTTTTTCCCTACTTAGTGGGCTGTCGGGAAAAACACAGATTGCTCTTTCCAGAGATCTGATCACAAGAACTGAAGATTGCCCACCTCTGCTCTAGGTCTGCAAGCGACCTCTTAAACATAGGAAAGGCGACTCATCAGTATTCAAGCTTTTATTCTTGCATCTTGCTGTAGGGCTATTGTCTTCTGTTGCTTCAGAGCACAGCCACGGCTGTGAACTACAGAATATCAACAGCAATAAGGCACAATTAAAATTACAGAGAGAAGGGGGAAGGAGTTTATTAAAACAGAAATGCTACTGTACAATCATTCCACGCATTGGTGAAAATCGATAGGCAATGATTTTGTTGTAAACATGAGAAGTTAACGAAAAAGTTGTACTCTAACCAAAAAAATAAATAAATCCTAATAAATTTATTCTTTGTTTCCAAGGGTGATAAGAGAATACAATCAAAATGAAATACTCACAATATATCGAATGTACATGTTCCTCTGTGTATTATTTGTTCTTCATATCAATGCCTATGTTTCGCTTTAATGAGTTATTTTCATTCATCCATCTCAAGGCACACTGTGAATACTGTGCATTCAATTTGGAAGACTATTGACTAATAACAAAGGCTGAGGTCCTATGTCTTACTGTTGATTCACAATTCCCACTGGAGTCAATGGAGCTAGTGGTGTGGGAGCCATTGTTCTTTCCATCCACCCCACACCACTCCAGGAAAGCCAGTTGTCCCAGGGTGTATGGAGTCCACCCTTCTTTTACTAGATCTACTCCAAATTCCAGAAAGGGCAACTCTGGCATCAGAAGAGTTCTCAGTGCTGGCATCTCCAGTGTGGTCTTGAACATTTATCACAGTGGTGCAGAAAGTACATGTGCTGGACCAACCACCACAAGAAGGACCACAACCACTCTTAACACCATGCACCCAGGACCTGCTTCAGAGAAGCAGTCCCAAATGATACAGTTGTGATTTCAATGTCACTGAGAAGTACAGGAGAATGTAAAAGGATTGAATTCCTCAATCCATTTCCCAACACAGGTCATCCACCAGCATGACCAAAGGTGGTTTCCATTCTGAACCAGGTCAAAAGCTGTACCTGAATGAATAATAATAATAAGAGTCTGGAGCTGAGATTTCATAGCCTTTTCCAATACCTTGGTTGAGAATGATAAATTTGACCCTGACAATAGCTGACCAGATCATTAAATTTTAGACCAGTGTTTCCTAAACATGGGTCTTCAGCTGTTTTGGGACTAGAACTCCCATCATCCCTAGCTAGCAAGACCAGAGGTCAAGGATGATGGGAATTGTAGTTTGAAAACAGCGGGAGACCCAAGTTTAGGAAACACTGTTCTAGACTGTGTTGCTTTAACAGAGGTGGAGCTACCACCTGCTTCAATGTGGACACAACCATCCTTTCCCTTAAGGAAGCATTGGTAACCACCAAGGCCTTAAGGAGAGCCCAGCTTCAGTTGCTTTCAATAGCCAAGTTGTACGAAGAACAGGTGATAGGTGTCAAACATCCAAGTAGCTTGTCTATATACTCAGTCTCCTAAAATTATGTCCGCCTACTAGTTATATGTGGGAATAAAGGGATGTAGGTGGCGCTATGATCTAAACCACTGAGCTTCTTGGGCTTGCCGATTGGAAGGTCAGCAGTTCGAATCCATGTGACGGGGTAAGCTCCCGTTGCTCTGTCCCAGCTTCTGTCAACCTAGCAGTTTGAAAGTATACCAGTGCAAGTAGATAAATAGGTACCATTGCGATGGTGGGAAGGTAAACGGCATTTTCGTGCGCTCTGGTTTCCATCACAGTGACCCATTGTGTCAGAAGCTGTTTAGTTCTGCTGGCCATATGACCTGGAAAGCTGTCTGGGGACAAACACCGGCTCCCTTGGCCTGAAAAGCGAGATGAGGACCAGACCTCATGGTCGCCTTTGACTGGACTTAACCATCCAGGGATCCTTTACCTTTTTTACCTTTTTTATATGTGGGAATATAAGAATGGTTTAGCATGGATGCATGGGGTGAACAACATGGAGTCATCCTAGATCACTGACATGCTGGCTGGGGATGATGGGAATTGGATTCCAACATCTGGAAGGCAGCACAGTGAGAAACCACTGGACTAGCTATTCCACTGAAATACTGTAACATGGGTCCTTGACCTTATTGCTCTTATCTAGGAGTTTTAGGTTCTGCGCCAATTCAGGTTCTGCAAAACCCTATCCCAGCATGAAATCTAGTATGTAAATGATCAGCCAGGATTTAGAAAAACAGCTGTAAATTAGATTTCCAGAAGCATTTCTTTATCACATGAGTATTAAGTGAACTGGGTGGTCTGTGTGTAAATCAATAATCCTGTGAAATCTAGTTAATCATATGTAAAAGGCTTACAGCTTCCCTGCTATTTCAAGGGAAATGGGAGCATATGGACTTCCGTTATTACCATAACTAATTTATACTCTTCAGGGCCTACTCAAAATGGTTAGAAATGAAACAATATATGCTATTTCCATCTAATTATCTAGATACTATATTTAGCACAATCCTTGTTTTATCTGCATGCTGTTTAGATGGCAAAAGAACAACAGTCTAAATAAATAATGCCTAGTGTAAAAAAAAAGGAAAGAATCTGTCATATTATATAAAATTACAGACCACACAGTCTCAAATTGATGTCGCTCTTACCCTTGTGTGTTAAAATGGGATCCTGTCACTGGGATAGAACAGCACAAAGGTTTTGGATTTAACCAAAGTGCCTTCTTCCTGACAAAATCCCTAAAACAATACATGTGGCATACCTTCCGAGTACAAAGCAATGATGAAAAATCCTTGTAAAAGATAAAGGCAACGTGGAATTATGAAAATGAAATTAAATGAAAGCTGTTCTCCAAATGAGGAACCTTCCAGCACCTGCTTGCCTTGCTTTGGTGACCTTCCTCATGCCATTAGCAAAGGACTTAGTGGCCAAAATCTTTCATGAAACATAGTTCTTGCATAAACACATTTACAGGACTTAAAGGGTAGAACTCTCTGCTTATGAATAAAACT